AAGTCTTTAAATGTATTGCCAAATCCATTTCCAAACTCAGTATATTAAGGTCTGCAAGCAAAACTCGTTTTTGATGTTAGCAAGTTTACAGACAGGAGAGAAGGCAGGAGAAAGGGAGTAGGAAAGATTTTCTTTCCCTAGTAATCCACTGAATGTGCAGCACTGCTGTAGTGCCAGCCCATTACAAAACAATAGTGCAACTCCAACAGACTGGAAGACCAGCTCAGATGAAGAGGAGACTTCACACATTTCTGCTACATCTCATACAAATAGAGCAAAAACAATCAAGGAGTGAATTAAGGCTTAGACAAAAGATTTCCTTCCCTCCTCTGCCTGCAAGCCCACAGGGCTGCCATGAGCTGGCTGATGTGCAGCTGAGAAGCTTTTGTTTTCTCATTGTCCCAATTTCTCATCTGCAACCTTTCCTTTGGTAGTTCATGTTTTTTTTACAAGGTTCCAGCCTGTCAGCTGGAGAGTCTTTCCAGCTTCTTTACGCCTGTGTAGACAGTGCTCACAGTTGGTCTTAAGGGGCTGGGAAATGTTAATCTGAGAAACCAGTTCTATGCAAGGGAGACTGCAAGTGAAAATCATCTCAAGAGCAGAGAAAAAGGATCTGACAACCAGCTCTCTGTCATGGACAAAGGAAATACCTCTGGGTTGCCAGCCAGGCTCCGCAGTGGCCAACGCTGAGCAAAAAAACCTCAAAGATTCTTCCCAAGACAGCAGTGGGATGCCTCGGGCTTGAGGCTTGGTGTGTTGTAGGACAGGTGCCTGAAGGGCTGGTTCACATATCGGGTCTAATCCATCCTCAGCTGGCGCATGGCAGTGATTAGCTGTGGCGTCGTCAGCCTTTGCTGGGAATCACTAGTCCTGGCTGCAGCTAACAGCGTGTTTCTCTCTGCAGCACACACGTCTGCCCTGGAGAGCAGACTTGCTCCTCGTGCAGACCTGAGTTCAGCGCCCGTTGTGCTCTGAGAGAGCTGATGACAGATCACMGTCCTGATGTAGAACCACAGTAATAGCAAATGTGAGCAATGCCTGGCCAGCTAGACCATTGCTAACTGCTACATAGCTCAAATCTCTGCTCTTTGATAAGTTCTTGTGAACTCCGTAGTGTTAGACAGATGTTAATGAGGTCAGGATTTGACTTTCAATTATTGTAATTGTCCTCGCTCACCCAGTAGCTACAGTTCGTAGGTGATCAGACCTACAGCAGGAAGGTGAGGAGGGCTTGGCAGGGCTCCCTCTCCCCCAGCAGAGAGCTGRTCTTGGTGTGTGTGCTCTGTGCCCGGCCAAGGGCTGCTTTGCTGCGTGTTATTAGTGCTGCCAGAAATGGATGGTTTCTTACTTKCTTAATTAAGTTCTTTTGGGGATCAGGTTGGAGAATGTAAGGGTCTGTTTGCTGGAACACCTTTGTGGAACATCACAGCRTGTTGCTGTGGAAGAGGACGATGCTGCTCTCTTTTGCTCTGAAAGTCAAATCAAGTTAGTCTGATAGACCCTGGAAGTCATAGAAAGCAGAACTTCGCATTGATGCTTTCTCTTCCATGTTGTCTTTCTGGGCAAATGCACAATTTTGCTTGTGGCCCAGAGATGTCAGATAACCTGAATGCCACCAAAAGCAGGTGATGCAGTTAACTGGGCATCACAGTTTGTCACAGGTGAGAAGCTATAGGCAACTAGCGAGGGCACGGCAGCTACCATGAGCGCGTGTTTCAGTGGTACAAGCTCCAGGGTGCCTAGTGGCAACTGTAATTGTCGTCATCGTACAGCAGCTCTAGGCTACGCTCACTCTTTCGTGGGTGAAAGGCTTGTGCTCAGCTTGCAGCAATAACCTGCCCCTTCAAATGAGGAAAAAAAAACCTTCTGGATCATGGAGCAGCGTTGCAAATACCCAGTGATCAGCAACAAACCCTTCATTGCATTTTTTTCACAAGTTATTCCATTTGTTATTAGGATTGAATGGCTCTTACCAGGTGTTAGTGAAGTTGTTTCTGTGTGTGCTGTGCTTGCCATGGCACGAGTGCCTGGCTTCGCCGCCGCAATGCGCTCGGTTTGGTGTCAGCATCCCAGCAGGAGCAGAGCTGATAGGACGTTGTAACAGGACAGTGGGCATAGTCATTCCTTCACGGTGAGAAGTGTTTGACTACTGCTGCTGCCACTGCTTGGCTTGGAGTGTCAACTGCTGGTTAGGCTTTCTTGGAATGAAGGAAGTATTAACTGTAAACTGCTGCAGCTGATATCTAATTGCAGATACCCTGGGAAGCATTTGGGCGCCAATCCAGCAAAGCACTTAAGCACCCACTGGTTTTGTAAGAGAAGGACCCCTTGCCTGGCATTGCTCTTTGTTCACAGACATCCTCTGAAGTGCTAGTGGACCAGTGCCTTTCCCTGACAACCTGAGCACATCTATCTCGTTTTCTGAGRTGACTGAAGGAGGTGAGAGTCCAAGGTTGACTGGAAACCTGCAGGAAATAAACTCCTAAATCACTGATATACTTTGAAAAGTTTACTCAGCTGGACAGTGTTTTTCTGCTGTTCTTCAGCCTTGCTGTAATAGATAAAATTGCGACAGCCTTTTAACCCCTGCCAAATACTGAGAATTGATTTGTTCATCCAGGTACTCCTGTTGCAGTTGGGTTACCCTAGATATTCTAATATGCAATGATTGGAACATTCTTTTCCAAAAACAGGCGAAAGCAGCTTTCCTGCTATATCCTGCTGACAGAGAGGGGTGAATTCACAGAAGGAAGGTTRCAGTCAGATGTGACTACAATGACTTAACCCAGGAGGAATAATGAATTCAGAACAGCCTGTTATCAAAAGCAGCCCTGCAGTGTGGATAGTCGTTGAGCCCCAAGGCAAGAATAGAGCCCTGTAAACAGAAGAGCTCTTGGAATCACTYTTTGGGTAATAATGCATTGATTTAATATGAGGAAGAACGGATAGATCGAAAGCAAAGGTTATGATTTAGATGTTTTGGTTTTAAATGTCGAGTTGGAAATACTGATCTTCTCAGAACATATGTGGGATGAGAGAGGAATAAAGCTGGAGATKAGCCCTACCTAATCAGTCAATCTGGGTAGAAAAGTAGGTCTTGGTMTCCAGGTGTTCCAGTCCACTTATCAGGAAAATTGAACACTTTTTCCTTCAGAAAAGCTCAGCAAAATTTCTTGATCAGAAGGGAAAGCAAACCTAGGCTAAACCACTGATATTCAGCAGTTCCCAGTTATTTTCTAGCTAAGATACTTTGCTGCTTCTACAGCTACCACTCTACCTCCAATGCCTGTGTTCATGCTCCCCGACCCTTGCTTGTGCCTCTGCGTTGCAAGTGCTGTTTTTGCTGCCCTCTCAYCCTCCCTGTTCCTCTTCCTCCCCTGCCACAGCCTTCCCCCATCTCCCCAGGCTTTGGCTATGCTTTTTTTTTTCCCCTTCACTGCTCCTCCAAGTGCTGCCTCACTTTCCCTGGTAACGCACCCACTAGTTGATACCTGTCTGATTTGCCAAAATACAATTTACTGTGCCTGGATGATACAAGTGAGGTGTGGAAGCAAATTGCTGCCAGATCAGATGTCTCCCATCATGGGAAATCTTGCAAGGTCCATATTTTTAACAGATGACATTCATATTGCAGAAATATTCCTGATGAATTTCTTTGATATGTTGGTGAGGTCAACAGGAAAATCACCTTCAAAGGAAAAATCAACAAGGCGTATATATCAGAGCAGGGAAAGCTCCTGTAAACCTGTCACCTAATTCTAGCATTATTTTTAGGTTGTATACCAGTCATGCATTGAAGTTTGACACGGTGGTCTTCCTGGAGCAGGCCAGTAACGAAAGGCCAGGATGTAGCCATAGTAGCACTGTGATCAATGCCAAGTATTCCAGGTCTTTCAGCAAGAAGTGCTGGGATGACTCGGAATTAAGAATAATTGCTCGTTTCTAGAATTCATAACCTATTTCCAGAGGTTACCCAGCAGTCAAGTGGTTGCTCCCCCCCATCACATCCAATAACTGTGGATAGTGGGGAGAAAAGTGGTCATTATGCCAAAGTAATGAGCAAAGAGGTCAGGAAGTTTGATAAGAGCAGGAGAAGTCATTTCCTGTGATATCATTAACGGTATTTTAGAGAGCAGGTTTAGTAATTGCTATGGTAATTCTGAATGGCTTTTGACTGTGAGAACATGGAGGTAATTTTTTAAAGTTAGCATCTTTGCTAGTGGGAGAGAATTTCATTAAAACAAAACAGCAGGGCACTGCAGAGGGACACGATGGGGCTTGGGGACAGCARCATCTCTGCTCTGTGCTGTGTGACTTTGCAGATCCTTCTGGACCTCAGTTTTTCTTCTCTAAATGATCTGTGGTGACTTGCATGCACCAGTAAGCAAGCACACGAGGAAACTGGGAATCTCAGGACACCAAGGTGATGTCTCAGGGCAAATCAGTTTTATAAATATCCCAGCACAGACAAGTCTGTAAAACAAACGAGCATCATAGGTTTGTTACTGCTGTGCAAGCAACTAATCAGAAATGGGAGCAAATGCTTTTTGTGAGGGTAAACCAAAAGTTTGTGTGAGTAGTTCCTGGTTTTACAAATGTGAGGTCTAACTCAGGGTTAATGGCAGCGCTCTGAAGTGGTTTTTTTTTTTTTTTTTTTGGAGCAGAGTTGTTGATTCTCCTGTGATTTTCATGAGAAGCTTTCAACCTTCCAGAAACTGCATCCTCCTACAAATCTGTATGCATGCAGATATACTCCCATTTTCACCAGCTTACGAAAAATTAGCTGCCTTCAGCTATGCTGCTTCTCATCAGCTTTTGCTCAGTCTTCATTTGCACTCAAAGGAAGCTTTGCTTCAGGACTGCTGTTGATCCAGATCAGTTAGAACAGGGCAGCAAATCCACCTGTACTGGAGAGGATGAAGCAAATCCTCCTGAAGGAGAATGGGAGGACCATGTTGAGTGTTTTGTTGGGCCTTCACTTCTTCCTTTCTTCCCCCCAGGTGCAAACAGATGACTTACCCTGATGACCTGCCCCAGATCTCCGTGGTCTTTATATTTGTCAACGAGGCGCTGTCCGTCATCCTGCGCTCTGTGCACAGCGTCGTGAATCACACCCCGTCGCACTTGCTCAAGGAGATCATTCTGGTGGATGACAACAGTGACAATGGTGAACACACATAGGTTTTTTTTTTTTTTCCTTAAGTGCTGTGTCCCTAATCAGAAGGAACTTCGTTGCTTCAGGCTGGACTGCTTTTTTTCTAATGTGGGGCTGAAGTGATATTGAGTCAACCTGCATTTAAACARCTGGGGGAGGAAGGTTTTATATGATTTATGGCCTAATAATAATTCCAATCATAAGCTGATATAAATTAATTTACCTCCTTTGAAGGCAGTGGAACTTAAAAGACTTTGTAGCTTTGATGAGACAATCAGTTGGCCAGTTTCACAAAACTGTGCATAAATATTAATTATTTATACAACAAACATTATGTGGATAAACCCTGCTGATTCCATTGGAATTTCTCTCAGGATGAATGGCATTTGTACTAGTAATCTTAATGCAGAAACAACCCCTTTTACCAATTTTTCAGGTCCAGAACAACACCATCCTTTATAGCCCAGAAGTTTAAATTCTGCTTCCAAGGAAAAGTCAAGTTACAGATTCACCTCAAAGATAATTTCAACTCTTTGCATAGAAGAACACCCTGCTTTTGCTTCATTTATGTGGATGTCAATAATACTAGATTTKACTTCTGATTTTTTTGATGTAGGAAATAAATCAGCTATGTGAGTGAAATAACAAAATGGACACACAGCACCTGCTATTCACAGGTCACATAATTAATTCATGTAAAAATAGCACTTCTATTAACAACCATCAAAGTGAAAACACGCATGAGCATGTGTAGGCTGCAAGCAATCTGTGTGTTTTGTAGGACGTTGCAATGAAGCTGAATAAAGCAGTGAAGGAGATCTGCCCTTTCTGCAGCTCAGTGCCTGAAACTGAACAGAGAAAAGAGGAGTCTGTTTGTAATGTTCAATGCCTGCTTAGTTGAAAGATTAAGACTGGTGTTGAGGAGTCGAAATATATTTAAGGTGAACACCTGAAGGTTAGGGAAAATTGATTCTGATCTGAATTAGATTTTGACCCCAAATCCATTAAAAGGTACTTGTCAAACTCTTCATGATCAAGATAAATCAGAAAAAAAACAGTTTCTTCTATGTTGTAATGCCACARGGTCAGATTTGCTCTTCTAGAAGTCACTACTGGAAATGATCAGGGTATTGCAAGAGTAATTATTTAAAAATATTGTATACCCCTATGAGTCTACATAAGCGCTCTGTCTGATATGTGCATTTCTCCTGGTTGATACCCCTGCAGCAGATCCTTGCCACAGTTGCAGTACTTGGTTTGTGTCTGTGAGGGCAACTAAAGATTAGGCAATATTCAGGCATTTCCTTCCCTGTCTATTGGAGAATAAATGAGATTTAAATCTAATGTCACAAGGCTATCTTTTTTTAATTCTAATTTTTTTGTGTGTTTCTTTGCCCTGCAGTTGAACTAAAATTTAATCTAGACCAGTACGTCAATAAGCGATACCCAGGCCTGGTGAAAATAGTGCGCAATAACAAACGAGAAGGACTGATTCGAGCCAGGATCCAGGGCTGGAAAGCAGCGACCTCTCCAATTGTTGGTTTCTTCGATGCTCACGTTGAGTTCAACATTGGCTGGTAAGAGGTTTGGATGGCACTGTGCTTATCTTTTGCATTCAATATTCSCACAGGGAGAGCAGTAGTGTTGCACTGTGCTCTGCCTCTCAAAGACTGCAAAAAAGATTTGCTCAGCCACGGGGGAGCTGAAGGACTGCAGGGATGAGATGGCTGTAGGCTGCTGTTATCACATTAGCAATTACATTTGAATAATATTCTTGATTGTTGCAACATCACTGACAGTCTGCTGCTCTCCTGGCTCTAGCACRGCTCACTGGAAAGGGAAGCAATTTGCAGTGCTGTGAACTGAAGGCTTCCAAACCAGACAAGTGGGGAAATGCCTCTCAGGAGCTTCCTGCTCGAGGCAGCTAGGTGCTTTTGTACTTCATCTCCTTGTCATTTTCTGTCCTTTCTTAGAACATGAATGCAAACCTGATTTCCTCATAAGTTTTGTTGTGTTAAATTTGAGGGAAGCATTGWATTATCTCCTGTGCTTTTAATGGAACTTGAAATTTTACAATTTTACCAGACCTTTTCTGATCTTTTTTTTCTTTTTTTTTTCCTGCAAGGGGAGCAATGTTAACTCTGGTAGGCAGCAGTTTTTTGCCTAATGGGCCAAATCTTCAGTTGGAGTAAACCTTTGCAGCACCACTCAGTGGCCAATACTTGGCGTTGCTGGAACTGAGGGCTGAAGGAACTGATATGTAGTCAGCTTTGAAAAGGGGCTTTGGGGACCTACAGTATGCAAAATGTTTATGTTTGAAAGTGGTGCTGCTGTTTGATAATGATGATGCAGGATTATGGTGTCGCTGATTGTGCTCTGCTGGTCTGGGAGATATCCTGAATTTAAAACTTAAAAATAGCTGCGCTTACAGCCACGGAGAAACTTAATTGCAAAGGAATGGAGTGTTTATTTTTATATGTTCATGAATATCTTCATAAAATTGAAGCTGCAATGAAGTAAGTCTTGTTGTCATGCACCTGGTTTATATTCACTTTTTTTTTTTTTAGAAAACTATATTTTCTGTAAGCTTAATAGCCAAGCTTAATTAATTTACTTTTAAGCAACTATATCTTTCAAGTCGTTGCAAATGTTAATGTAGAGTAGTATCGGCTACTRGACAGAATGTGAGACTGAAACCTGGCAGGGGTGACAGTTCATGCTCTGAGTTCTCTCTGGGGCACACTCAGGAAAACACATTTACAGGATCAGTTGGTTCATTCAACTGCTRGGTCTGCTTTTCTAAAACAAATGCCTTCTTATAGCCTTTGTGCTGAGATAGATTCTGCCTKTTTTGCAACAGGGATGGTCAGTCCCTCCCTATTTTCTTCCTTGAGCTTTGTGGACTCAAATTCTTGCCCTTCTCTTCTGTGCCATCTTCTACTCTTTGGGTTTATTGGTCAATCACAGCAGTAAGTGAGAGTGTGTATATTCATATATTCAGAGGCCACATGGATTGCTCCCCCTCGGAGATGTCTGTGGATTATTTGTGAGTCAATTAAAAAGAAGGCAATTCCTTTTCCTTCAGACAAGAGCATTAGCTTTTGGGTTGGTTTATGTTCCAGCTATAATGCAATTTTAGTTTTCCACTCAATGGCTGTTTTATCTGCTTAATCGGTTGGCAGGCGAATTCATAAAGAAAGTGAGGAGGATTTCATCACTTTCTCATGAAACATACAGGACTGTGACAACAGCAGCAGCAAAAACTTTACTTTAAGCAGTTATTACCACATTTAAGGGTGAGGTTTTACCTTATTGTGGGAGAGTTTTACAGGCTCTCACAGCAAAACTCTCCAGGGGCACTTCTTCTAAACTGAAATAAAATCTAGTAGGATATGTGTTTAAAAAAGAAAAAAAAAAAACCCTACAGCCTTGCAAGTCAAATTAACTATTGAATTATTTATTTTACTCTGCTTAATTGCTGCTTTTTTTGCCTCTCAGGTATTGGGAACATATTAGCACAGGGCAGAGATTTTCTACTGACCTGTTTGCGTTTGGTGGAGTGAGCTAGTTCTATTGCTCAGACAGCAAAAGTTGAGAGGACCAAGTAAAAGGGCAACCATTACTATTAATTCACAAATGAAACTTTAAATGAAAAGTAAAAAGTTCCCTGCACAGTTTGTAAAATTCTGCCTGTTCTGCCAYGGCACTGCTTCTGTTTTTAATGGTTACTCAGTGTCAACTGAAGTCAGTGTCTAGAGCAACATCCCAGCAGAACCAATGGCACTGTAATGTTCTGAGCTCCCAAATACATCCATGAATATTCACAGCGGGAGCCATCCTTCCTGGCTGCTCCTGCCTGTGCTCAGAAAGGCAATGGGACAAGTGTCCTGGCGTTGCACAGTTGTGAAGGGAAATACTGATGGCCAAGAGGGGAACAGGAGCGGGATGGAAGGTGGCCCCAGGAAGACAGGAGGATCATTCTGCAGCTCCGTTTTATTCTTGCTCCTGGCAGGGCTCAGCAAGGACAGTGGCACATGGACAGGCTTAAAACCCCTGGCACTTGTCAAGTGCACTCATTTCAGTCTTAGCATAAAGCAGAATCTGCTCTCCCGCTGTCAAGTTAGCTCAGAAAAGACAAGAATTCTTTTCCAGTGCTCTTGGAAATTGCTGTTCTTTGGTCCTCGGTCCCAATTAGTTTTCTATATATTGTACAGCTGTGATGGGGGGAAAGTAGCTACTTTGCCTGTATTTTTAACTGTGATTTCCAGAGAAAGCCATGTTACGTGGCTGTGCTGTGGGGGAAATGCTTCTGTCTGTCAGTCTGCAGCTTCAGCCAGATTTGACAGAAGGCGAAAGGTCTCAGAGAGATTATGTTCCTAGAGGAGCTGTGGAAGCAGGCAACTGAATAGTGCTCCAAATCAGCACGGCTGCTGACAGGCTGCAACACGTATTCATAGCGGATAGAGCTGTTAAAAGCACCCCAAATATGAGGGAAATGGGGTAACAGTTTGCAGCTGATCACCCATGTGATCCTACCCAAGGACCCAGATGGTTGCAGTGCGCCACATATCACAAAGTCCAATACTCACCAATCATATCTGATGCTTCTTGATTTTCTGTCCTAAATTTTATGGGCAGAGAGGCATTTTCGTTTTCAGAGTAGGAAAAGGCAAGAAATAGAGTTGAATTTGAATAAAATTTAGATGGAAAGAGTGAATGGAAACAGATGGTTTGGGGAGAATATCCCTGTTGCAGTCCTAAAATGCGTTACTAAAAGACTCCAATAAATGGGAATATAGGAGGAGGTCCATATTTAACAGCTTACTGGGAAGGCAAATACTTCAGCATTTAAAATATATATCTTTGTGGAAGATTGTACATTCCTGCTTGAGCATATATTTAAGTCTGTAAAGTTCAGTTTTGCCTTCACGCCACTCAAGATTTCAACAGTCCTGCTCTGTGAGTTTTGTATTAAGTCTACGCATTGCACATTAAGYAATGCTCAGTAGCACTGGCTACAGAGCACCTCGTCCCACCACTAATTATATTGCAGGAGACGTAGACCATTATACAGTCTCTTGCCTTTGAAGGATGGAAAAGAATGTGACAAGGAGAACTGGAATACATGATGGTGGGGATCAGAAAAGAAAGGACAGCAGAGATGGGGTGTTAATTCGCTGGCTGAGAAAGAGGACACGTTGAGTGAAGGAGGGCAGAAATTGGTAAGTGAAAGACAGAGATGACAATGTATTGACAGCCATAAAGAGAGTGCTAGGAGGCATAAAAGAAGACATAATGATAGAGTATTATACTTCCTATCTTAGGAAATGCTTTTGCACATATCACGGAGGCAATACTGGAGCACTGAATAGAGTTATGCAGTATTGTAGTAATTAAAATTTTGCCAGACAAAGGGATAATATCAATGAGGAAGCAGTGAAATACAAGAATTTCATCAAAAAATTTAAATATACAAAGAGAGACAGGGAGAACCTGACATGAGAAAGGACCTGAATTACATGTCTAGTATCCATCAATCTGTGTCACACACAGACCATCATTATAGATTATCCCTGAAGTTGGCCATGCTTTAAAAAGATAGAAAATGGGAATTTTAATGAGCTAAGAAGAAGAACTAAAGATCAGGATCCTCACATCTATGGATAATACGTTATAGAAGCCATTTTATACTGTAATGTGTAGTGCGGTTTGTTGTAGCAGCTTTAAGAAACAGGTTCTGAAAAAAAGCATGTGAAGGAAAAATGGAGCTGATCTCCTCCTAAACTTCAACAGTTTTGTTCATCCCATCTGCTCTGTAATGCCACAAGGGAATGCTACAAGCTCCCCACTGAAAGTTCCTCTGTTAATGTTTTCAGGCAGTACATTGTAAGGCACAATGTCCAACATGGTAAACTGAACTCTAACAGCAAGTGAACTCTCCGTGTTACTTTTCCAGTTGAGCTTACATGGCTCTTCAGACCTTCTGCAAGGTCCTGATGGATCATCCCTCCTAATAAATAAATAAATAAATACCAGAGATGAGGGTGGTAGCTCCTAGTCCGTGCCCTGTGCAGTCCCTCCGTTGCTGAGGGTTCACAGGTACCATTCCTGTTCAGGATGCAGTTTATTACAACATCCCTGGTATCATGTTGATTTTCATTTGGGAAGTTTTGTTTAGATGCTTATGCAGATGCGAAGGAGAGGACGTGTTAGTTGATGGAGTTTCTCTATTTCCAAAGCCTTAATACTAACTTAGGATCAGTTTGGTAACTTAATGGAATATATGTTTCAGGTAACAAATGAATCCTGATATTAGCTGAGTAAGGAGGGCCATGTGGGCCTTGCAGATGTATTCAGCTCGAATTCAGAACACATGCCAGAAAAGCAGCTTCACCTATTCATCCACCTAAACAACCTAGACCGTTCATTGAAGCATCCTCATTGCTTTTCAGTGGTGCAGAAAAGAGCTGTTCAGATTTGGCAGCCGAATGCTGATCTTCAGCTTTGCAGCAGGCGTTTCTGCAGCGTTCACCCCGTTCTGGCCGAGGGGCTGCAGGTCTGCAAGCTCCCAGGGCCTCGAGGAATGCTGATAGAGATGTCAGGAGCAACATGTGGRGAATTTGTTCTCTTCCTCTTAGAGACGGAAGAAAGGAGTATTTTTTTTTTTTCCCCAGTGCTCTGAACACTTATTTACAGGAAAGGTATTCTGCATGAAATATTCCTTACTTGGCTTCAGTGAAGAATTATATATGTCAGTGGATTTGCTTGTCTGCATCTGATAAATGCATATTGTCAGTGAAAGCAGCCTATAAAATCACATAGAGAATAAGCTTTCAGTTTACACAGTTTTTTTTTTTTGCTTAATTCTATGCTAGGTTTTTACTTCACGATAGCAAGCAGTGGTGCAACCAGGGTAAAGTATAGTGTTAAACCCACTGAGCAGTAAAATCTAACAGGTCAGACCATGTTATCTTTCATTATATAGAAGAGAGCGTGCCGAGAGAAAAGCAAAATCTGTTTTGCGAAAGATTAAAAAAAAAAAAAAAAAAGGGAGGGGGAAAGGATATTTTTAAGAGATTACTTCCTCCTTTTTGATTGGAATAAAAATTAGAATAATGATGATAGGAAAAAAAAAAAGACAGATATGCATCTCAGAACAACCCAAAGTCGACCATTTGTGACAGGGACAGAATTTAGGAGAAAACTTTCCCAGGACAATCCCTGTCACTTAGGAAAGTGTTMGATTTTGGACATATACAGAAGTGTTATTTTGAAAGAGGAAGGATTTTCGCACACGCACGGTATAAAGGATCTACCTAAGAACTGACAGGAGCTCTAGGTGGTTGGCTGAGCTCTTYAGTAGACCCATGGAGATACAACTTTCCAGATGTTGTGAAGACCATTAAAGCAGGGAAGTCGCACAGTACCCAGCCTACAGCATGCATGTGCTCTTAGATGAGGTGTTAATTCTTGCCTTGTGCCTTTTAAAAAGTCTGCTTGAAGTCAGCAGGTGGCTTTACATATTTAAAGAGAGAATTATATAATCATGCATGCTGCTGAGCTCATTGCTAACTAGTTTCATCTGTGCTTGCGAAGAAGCTGGTCTTTTTAAGCTTTGTGGAAAAAACAGGCTTTCCCATTGGCACAGATACTCTGGCAATCTCATTAGGGTGTAGGATGATATACGGGTTTTGTTTGCTGTGATTTCCTCTGGAGTTTGGGCTGTTCTGCGTTGGCCCAGTGTTAAACACAGAATGCATGTATGCATTTAAGATGCCTTGCCAAAGTAGCAGTCTAAATTCCCCTTACAAAATTGACTCCTTTGGAATATTATTCATTTCACCCATTTTCAGTGTCTCTGTTATTATAAGAAGAAAAATACCTACATCTGCTGAGCATGAAGCGAGTTCAGGGTATTGCCTTGGATGTAGAGGTCTGTATTGCAGATATCTGACATTAAGCGAGAAGAATTCTGTAACTCTTTTAGCTTTATCTTTACATGATCTCAATCTACCCTTCAAAGTAAGATTGTTGATAAAATAATAACAGAAGGAAGAATTCTAGAAGTAAATGTAGAAACTTGAGAATAACTTTAAGCATTATACACCCAATGATTAAAGGGCTCTCTTTTGTATCGACTTCTGTGGAACTGAGGGCCTTAACATTTGTTATCTTTTCTTGCTTTTCAAATGCCTGTTTTCTGTGACAAGTATGAGTAGGAATGATGGAATTTCGTTGTTACGAAGGGAACATGTTTGTAGATTTTTGCTTCAAAAAGCTTGTAGTTGGTTTTCCTGCATTTGCAGAGCAGACCTGAAGATACTAGGGTCAACCATACTATGTTCTTGCAGGTTGTGGGAGTGAGTGTGGGAACTCTGTGTCCTGTGATGTGCACAAGATCTGGCTAGAGGGGCCGGTCCCTCTGCTCTGTGACTTCCATGATGCACAAAATCTGTCCTAGCAATACTCAAGGGATGCAGGAGCATGTGTGAGATGTCATTGGGTTTGCAAGGGCACTTGGAGATGCTGTTGGAATGAGGACTCTGAAAATGGTTATTGTTAGTTATTGCAAGCTGACTGAACCAAAAGTGAGGGATGGGCAATGCACTGCCACAAATGACTGCAGAAGTGGCTTCTTGCACCTCTCTCTTATTCCTCCACAATTATTAAATAAACACAAATAGGAGACAACAACCCAGAATGAAAGAGCAGGAGGAGTTCTCTGCCCTGTTGTCCTTTCCTCTGGGCTCCTGCTGCAGGTTCTTCCCTCTCAAGAGTGACCTCCTCCAATATGATGTGTTTTTCCCACAACCACAAGTAACAGGAGGTCCATCTTCCAGCGGCCCGCTGCTAATGACATCTAGACCTGCCTGGTATTTTGAAAGCTTCAGTTTCTGAAGCCAGAGGGGAGTGCCAGAGCCCTTTGCTGATGATACACACAGCAATTACCACAGCCAAATGATTCATGGTGGGAGAGGAGTGTCTGSCTGATGTCTCAGTTACTCTACTGCAATTTCTTCTGCTGTCTCCAAGCTGATGAGTGCCGATGTAATATGAGGAGAACAAAGTAGATTCATCTTTTTCCCATTCTTCCCTGCTTTCTTGGAGCAGCAAGAATTTTTCTGTTGGACACCTGCTGTTCTTTAAAGCAGTTAATCTCATAACTATAATCTTGTGTAAATAACAGAAGCTGCTTATCCTGGTTTGGGAGGTCACATTGGCTCGTTCTGGGTCTGCGTGAGGGTGGCCTAAAGATCTCATGATTTTGCAATCTGAATAATGTACCGAATCTTTCACATTTCTTGTTTCTCTGATCAACAGAAAAAAACAATTATTTTATGTTTGGGGTGCTGTTCTTTAAAGGACATGCAACAAAAAAAGAAAAAAAAAATAAAAAGGAAAAATGCAGTCCTGCTCGTTATGGACATTTTTTTCTGGATGAATCCAAATAACCCCCGTTGATTCTTTGTGGCTTCTTCTCAGAAGAAATAATGCAACATCTTGGTTTTTTTTTTTTTTTTTTGGTCAGATATGTTCTTTTTTTACATTGTTTTGTGATGTTTTATTTGCACTAGCATCACAGAATCTGTATCTATTTGTACTGATGGAAGGATAAGTAGGAAAGAAGGAATCAGGAACAAGACCTCATTTAAGTAAAATGGAGTCTGTGTACCCAAGACAGGAGCATTTTAGCTATWTTCAAGTACAGAGAAAATGCTATTTTCTTTCAGAAGAGATCAGAAATGTTATGATACTTCAGATGGATAGTGGAGGATGAAAATGAAGGTTGAGTTACTTTCATAACTTGTCCCTTTCTTTTAGCCRACGCAAGAAAATATATGGTAGCAAATAAAACATAAAGAGGCAGAATTGAAACAACAAAGGAACAATTGCCTTTTAACCAACAACAAAAGAATAATGAGAAAAAAAAAATCAGTGTTCAAATCCYGACTAGCTCTGTGAATCCCAGCAAACCCCCATCCCTTCAGAAAAGATAGATGTGAGAGCGCTCTGAAAGATCTTCAAAGCTTATTTCAAGGAGAAACAGTTACAAAAGAGTGAACCGGTGGCTCCTTCTGGTGCAGCTGAGAAGTGCTTTCTGCCCTTATGTAAGCCTGCTACCTCTATAGATCGGTTTCTCTGTAAATTCAGAGCAACTTCAGACTACCTTGGCAGCAAATGAATGTTTGCACTGAGGAATTATCCTTTCCTGAAACACTTTGGAATGTAGCTTCTGTTGAAAGCACATTGATGCTTTAAAGGCTTTGAAATGACAGTGCATTTCCTGTAGTTTGCTTGCTGCTTTTGCACCATCTGGCAATWGAAGCCCTCTTGTCGCCGAAGAGGTCTGAGAAGACCCAACGTGACCACTCTTGTCATTCGAACTAGATGCAATGGGGTCAGTTCTTAGAAAACAAGATTAAAGCCTCTGAGTAACCTTCAGACTCATTCAGTGCCAGCTGTGGGTGTTGGGGGTTCTGCAGCAGGGTCAGCAAGAGCAGCCCCATGCTAATCAATAGCAGKTGTCCTTGTGATGTAGCCACCAGGAGGTCATTTACTTTCAGGTGACCGCAGTATCTCTCAGCATCTGCCCAATGCACACTGAAATTCCTGATTCTCCAGACATCAGAATACTTGTTTGGCAAAACTTTGGGTTGCTGAACTGGTAGGGTGCAGGGTTGACTACTGGTCTTGAAGATGAAGGGCTGTGTCACAGTACAGCTCCATGGAGACAATAATTAATATGCTGTTGCTGGGTGAGTTATCCCTCACCAAGCCCCCAGCCTGTTGAAGGTACTGCACCTTCAGTCACCCTAAGCAGCTTTACAGGCTGTCATCTCACTGGGTAGTTGCTTGTTAGAAAGCTTCAGAGATTGCAAGGAGGTACCTGGGATTACTGCRTGTCTCTAAAGCGTTTCCCTATTTTCATTTTCTCAGGGTGGAACCTGCACTTACCCGGATCAAAGAAGATCGGAAGCGGATCATCTTACCAGCAATTGACAATATCAAGTACAACACTTTTGAAGTGCAGCAATACGCCAACGCAGCCCACGGCTACAACTGGGGCCTCTGGTGCATGTACATAATCCCACCGCAGGACTGGCTCGATAAAGGCGATGAGTCAGCTCCCATCAGGTACATCTCCCGTGCGCTGTCACTTTGGTTTTAACAGGGTCTCCATCTCAGCTGTCTGCCGAGGCGGGATTTAAGCGAGGGAAGACTTGCAGGTTTTGTGCAGGGATGCGGAAATGAAACTGCAAAGCCGTGGACGTGCATCTCACACGTGAGGGCTATCCAGGCACTGCGAGTGCAGAAATGCGGGTGCTCTTGCTGTGAAACTGTGTTTCAGACTCACATTATGGCCCTTAGGGTCTAGCAGGATCTATCTTCTTATCTTTCTTTTCTCCAGCATACCCTAGCGTGAATGGTGAGTCAGATAAATGTAATGTTTTGTATGACAAATGCAGGTATTTTGTATGTGATTTCAAAGAAGCTTCCTTTACTTTAGAGCTTTGGATCTCTGCCCATACCAGTTTCCCAGCAGCACTAGTAGATGTGTTAGCCTTGCCTTGTTGAAGGGATGCTCTTTTCTTGGAGAGCCCTGTGTGATTTTTTTTTTTTTTTTCCATTGTATGAATTTCAGAAAGAAATAGGATCATGTAGTGAGCACACTATTGTYTTTTCCTCCGTGAGATAACATTTTACCTGATAAAAGTGGATTTTTTTTAAAAAAAATACTTTTCTAGAAATACTGATGGTGTTTTGGGGAAATGTTACTGTCCCAGTAGGAAAATAGGAACATTAAGAAAAGAGTTTTTTCCCCTTTGTTTAAAATTCATGTCTGCTAGCCCTTCCTCTCTGGTGCAGATGGCTGTCTCACAACTCCTCTGAGATGTACCATACTGGTTGAAGGTTACTATTTTTAGTAAATGTTGAAATAAATGCTATAAAACTATGAAGCCTGAACATGCACTTGTGCCTTCTTTGCCCTATTTTTGATATTTCTTAGGTGRAAAATTACCACCTTAGAGTTATCTTCATCTTAATATGCATCAGTCTCATCTTAAGGCACCTCTGTGTCATCCGAATAGAAGCTCTGGCAGAGATGATGCTCTGTTTTCCTTCCCTCCACCTTGACCTGCGGAGGAAAGTCCCAAGCCAAGTCCCAAATAATCCGTTTCCAATCTATTACTTCAACATACTCAACTGAAAGTATCCAGGTGGCCTTATGGAAGGGAAAGAATGTACATGGACTCATGGACTGCTCACATTTCTGAGTGTTGGGTTGGATGGGGCTCTCTGCCTTTCTTTCCCTGGCTGAGAATAATATTTAAATCTGTGATTAAGTTTTGCAGTTGCTCTTAGGTTCGTTCATGTGCCCTGTGACTGCAGAAGACTGCTATACCTTAACATTAACCTTATTTATGATGGAACAGCACTGTACTGTCCCTTTGCTCAGCTTGAAACCTCAATAAGTAGGAAATTAATTGCTTAGGAAATCAGTTTTCCTAAATATCACACTCTGCTCTCCTCAGATTGTTTTAAAAGTGCGGCAGGTGTTTTATATCTCTTCCCAGCCGGCCCTGAGAAATAGTTTATTGATGAAGAAAAATTAATCAGGCAAACTTTTCATTTCTGAAATCAGGGTTTCAGATTTTTATTCCCTAGAGGTTTTGCACACTCCATTACTTCCAGTTTATATGTGGAATCACTGTTTCAATTTCCACATGAGTCATTCTAGTATCTGAATGTCCTCTGCTCTGGAGTCAATGGTCACATAAACCTCAGCAAGTTCCTCAGGAAGGATTTTCAGTGGAGGTAACTAGCGCACCCACTGAAGTATGGGAGAATCTGCAGAGCATTTTTGGAAAGCCAACCACAGACCTTTCTAATAATGAATGCAGAAACTCATCGTTGTAACACTGAGAGAAGAGTTAGCTTCCTTTCAGCAGTACAGGCTTGCTAAGTTGGGCTTTCCTCACATTTCTGTTCAGCYTCTTGCTGGATTTCTACTGACAAGGAGTTAGACTGCCACAATTGTGAATCAGGTCCAAAAAACCAGGCACTGAGTAATGTCAAAATCTGATGCAGGTAAGTGGCTGGCTCCCAAGAGCAGCAATTGTGTTCTGAGCAGAACCTGGATGAAGAAACTCTCCACTTCGACACTGCGTATTCTGCCCAGAGAGGGAGGTGAGACAAGCAGAGCTGGGAATAGAGCGACTGACCCATGCCGACAAATACCAGGAGTGCCGAAATGCTCTGATTACATAAGTRTATCTCCTGCAAATTATGAATTACATGCCCTAAAATGCAGAGACATCAGTGCTGAACCGTGAACGTGTACACGTCTCTCTGGGTGCCTCTGCTTGGGAGGCAGTGATCTAAGAGAGATCCATCCATTTTATAGCCACACTGCCCTGATTTCTGATGTGCATCCCGAGCAAGAGCACTGGCATGGATTTGCTAAAGCATTTKATTGTGCTGCTTTTTTATGCCTGGTTGTAGAAACACAATGCAAATCTGTGGCCTTTAAATGATATGTCAGCGTAATTATGGTCATGGAAAGAGAATATGTGAGTGTTGTTGATGAGAAGGATCAGGAAATCTGGTTTTAGAATTGTGATTTGGAATACAGTGGCCTCTTAATAAATGTAAAAACTACTAAAGTGTATTTTCAAAAGGAGGGGGAAGTTAAAGGAAAGAGCAGACTTTTGCAAAAATCTCTATTAGTTTTGCACAGGCTTATTTTGTAGTGAGCTTTCCACACTCTGTACAGCAATTGTGATTTCCATTTCAGTTTGGTTTGCAAGGCATGCAAAGTGGTCCACACTGAAGCTGCTTGGCTCCTGTGCCTGTTTGGCCCATTCATAAARTTGCAGAACTGTTTATCAGGATAAAAGGTAAAGGAATGATAAGGTGTCAGATGTGGTAATGATGTTTGATACAACTTGAAGTTGATTTATGTTTTATTTCCTGCTAATACTCTGAAATTCAGCACAATTGATATTCCCCAAATCAATCTCCCCAGGCAATCCATTTTGCATGTTTGACATTTGAGATGCAAGATGTCTCAAATGGGAAGATTTAAATGGGGATTGTTATTTTGACACACCGTGTCCGTCATGTCGCTTTCCATTTGCATTCCTGAGAACACACTGCCCCAAAACACCCTTATCATCTGGCAGCAAACTGTGTAACCAAGAACACAATGTCAGAGGCTTTCTAATTAATTTGACTATGCACTGAAACAACATTTCATTTTTTTCCTGTATGCAGAAGATACTGTAGTTCTTTTTGTAAGAGCAAGGAAGGCATCTGATACCCTGAGCTCTTTCTCTGCCCCTCTTCCGTCGCCTCCCGTGATTTGACAGACTGCTCCGTGGTTCATTTCATGATCAGCAGCCACGAGTGCTGGACTCATTAGTCAGCCTCGCTCAGCCACGCAGGGCACAGCTTTCGTTTTATCTTCCTCCGGCAGCAGCGGTGCATTACAGCATTGCATATGTTCCCACTTACTGCTTTAATACTCCCTAGCACCAGCAGCAATGTGTATATATGCACACACAGACAGAGTAGCTCCTGGAAGCAAGTGGGTTTCGCTCACCTGTGAAAATGAGGGTCTGACGTGGCCAAGCACGAGTGGTTTTGTTTGTGCTGCCCGTTTCAGCTGAGAACATGTGTGACCATCTCGACTGTGTGTTTGGCCTCGTGCTGGTCTGTGCTGGCCATGGGGCTGTGATGCCACCGCGGGATGAAGTCCATCTGTGTACTGAGCTTAGGGAGCATCTCAGCTAAAATGTCCAGGGGAGGAACGTGGCTGSCATGCAGTAACAAAACTGGTGTGTTGGTGGCCACCTTTTTAGTTACTCGTCTATAGGAGCCTGCAATGGAGCTGCTGCTTAATAACTGTGCAGATTCTAACAGGTATCCTGCCTCTTCTGAGAAATGCATTTCTGTGGCGCATCGGGAAGTTATTYTTCATCCCTACTTTCCTGTATTCCTAGCCATAAATTTTCAAGTTTTCTTTCTTTTTTCCATTGCTGCAGCTCTCCAAAGCAGCTGACAAGCCTGCCCATCATTAAGCTTGTCATTTTTTTTCCTGTAACTGTTGAACAGAAAATCTATCTGAGTTCTGTTCTCAGACCCTGATGTGACTTCATTGCAGAGGACATGATTTGTAAGGAAAAAATAACTGCTTGCAGAGGTGCCATGCAGGTTCCCTCACTTGCCTGTCACATCCTCTTTACATTCTCCCCTCAGGTATTTGTAYGTGCTGGTAAGATTTCCCTCTCAATCTTTTCTTCTCTGGGCTAAACAGGCTTAGTCTTTCCTCCTAAGATAGATGAGGCCTCTCTAGAAGTTCCACGTCTCTCCTGTACTGGGGAGCCCAGAACTGCACCCAGTGCTCCAAGTGCAGCCTCATCAGAGCTGAATGCAGGGGCAGGATCCTATTCCYGGACCTGCTGGCAACATCCTCCTGATGCTGCCAGGATCCCATTGACTTTCTTGGCCACAAGGTCACATTGCTGGCTCATGGCTAACATGTCAACCATGTATGTATGTATATATGCATTTATAGGTCAGTTATCCTGGAAACGAGACTCACTGTGTGCTTGGAAAGCTGTTTCAAATGTGAGCTGGTTGCGTGCAAAGTGGCCTTAAGGTATGGGAGCAGAGATGTGGGGCAGAGAGGAAGCTCCGTCGTTTCACAGGCAGCCTCCTGTTCCTCACTTCTTCTTCCCTTGATTGTGCTGAAGCCACCAGAGCGCCCTTCAGTTCCTCTGCAAAGGGAAGGAAATCAAGCGGGGGATTGAGTAGGCCACGGCACAGACCCATGGAGATGAGGCACACGACCAAGCGTGGCTCTACTGGTATTGAAAAAGGCACTGTGGGCACAGAGTAGAGACACGGGCAGCTTTTCCAGCAGCTTATGCTAGAAGTAAATCATCTGAACCCAGATCTCCAGCAAGTGGCTTTTGTTTTGCGTCCTGCATGCCTGGTGCCCTTCACCAGAGCTGCCACCGCTGTGCCCACCGCAGCGGCGARCGGAGGGAGCAGGTCTACCACGCAGAAGTGCTGCTCTCTGCTTCCTCCCTTTCCCCAGGGTGATCCCTGGAGGAAGGTCTGCCCTCAGGTAATTTCCACAAATTGACTGTGCTCTGTCTTTCTCCAGCGCAGAATCAATACTCTTCTGTGCTGGATTTTACACCTTAGCTGCAAAAGCTATTTTACTGTGTTTCCCACATTATCCATTGACTGCTGCTGTTAGTAATAATTTATGCTTATAGCATCCTCAGCAGTGTCAAAGAATACTCCACAGATCAATTAAGTCTCCTAACACCTTTGAGGTGTTGGTAATAAATGGTAAACCTTCAATTATTATTTTGTGATGCTTTCCTTCTAAAAACATCACTGCTTTACAAGAAAAAGTCCACGACTTAAGGGAAAATGTCTACTTGCATAAAATAGGTGTGCCTTAAGTTATTTTACTCTGCAGCTGTGAAGTGCTAAGGTCATGCACCTTCACCCTTACTGCCTCTGGCTACTGAGCAGTGTTTTTTAGACATGCTAGCACAGTTGCTTTTGTCCATATATCCATTTCTGACTTTAAAGGGAAGTCTCTGCATTGTGCTAAAAGTGGTAGATATATGGGGGCTTGTTCAGGTACTGGGAAAAAGCACCAGCTATGGCAGTCAAGTTAGGGTCATATGCTTKCTTAGAGGCATTTTTTTTAAAGTACTTAAAACATGTCAGTGTTACACTGCAGTCGAGTATAAAACAATATTGTATGCTTAAAACACCTCTAAAAGAGAGTTTTAGGCTCTTAAACTGCAGTTCTGAAACTTTTGTCCAGTATGATTATTTGTGCTTTGCAGCTGGAGAAACAGAGGCAGATGGAGGTGACTCGCTGAAGACCAGGTGAATGACAGAGCYGGGAATAGAGGCAGGGTCTCTCAGCTCCCAGCCCTGTTACCAGCTCACTGGGCTGTGCAATAGCACTGTGCTTAGTTTACAGTTGGGTCAGTCAAATCACAGGAAAATTAAGAGCCTGGGSTTCATGAGACTAAACATCCCCAACTCTAATTGAGTAGTGGAAGTATCAGCATGCAATAATAGAAATTRAAGAAAATTCAGCACAGGGCATCCTAGGCAAGTTCTTCCCCCAGGTCAGAATGTGGCCAGGGGCTGCTCAGCTTCAGCTGCTCCCAAACCAACCACACTGTCATTCAGCTCCTGGGCCTGCTGCTGTGCAGATGTGCAGGGCTGTGAGTCGCCAAATTCGGGTGGATAAAGGTACTTTGCCTTGCAGTTTTCAGTTGGCTTGGGTGGAGACCTGGATGTGGTTGCCATTGCCCTGCTATTGTTGCCTTCCTCAAATCATTTTCTGAATATGCAATGAAGGTTTGTGGGGTCTGCCAGCATTTGAATGTATCAGATTAGAAGAAATAGAATGTAGGGGAGAGAGAAGTCCCTCTCAAAGGCATTCATCTGCGGGTGATGATTATGTAGTTGCATCCAAAATGTACTTCCCACCCCCATTCAATTAAGAAGTTAGTGCTTTAATGGGCAGCTGCAAAAATCCATCCTCYGGAGAAAGTTTCCAGCACCTGAGAGCAGCCTGAAAGCCAAGAGGTACCATTCCTCATTAGGAAGGAAGGAGAAACATCCTCATGGGAGCATCATACTGCTTTAAGGAGCTGCCTCCAGCAGGGCTTTTAGGGGCCTGAAAAGAAAGCAGGTCTAATCACAAGCTAGCAGCTCAGGTTTGCAAAGCAGAGATGCTTCTACCTATTTCCCTGTGAAGTCTGTGCTTGCCTTTAAGTACATGAAAAGGCAAATGAAGAAAGTGACTGATGTATCCTTTCCCTCCATGTCTTTTTATTATGGTTCAGGTTAGGAAATACCTAAACATTCCATCAAAGGAGTATTTTAGAACTTCTAAATTCTCTTTCCTTAGTCATGTCTCTTTTAATTCAGTTTCTAGATCAAATTCGCTAAAGATCATTTTTTCAGTGGTATAGCATGGGATAATGGCATGTATGTAGGGTAAGTCTAGTTAATCCTGCAAGAGAGTTCTCAGCCTCTTTAGACAAGTCTGTCTTCAGGCACGGCTATAGAAACTATATACACAAAGACACGTTTTTAGCAAATAGTTTGGATTTATAATTGTCRTCCATCTCTGCAAAATATTGGTGTAAGCACTGGTAGCATGTGGTGAAGTATTTGCATCCCTACAAAAACCAGGAGTGCCTGGATCATGCAGGATTTCTACAGAGTGCTCAGATCACTTCTCATGACAGAGTGATTCAGCGAAGTCTTCACAATTCGCAGTGCTAAACAGAGAAGTGCTGGCATTTCTTGCACTTAAGAAAGGAGGAATTCATGAGGAATGAGAGAAGTCCAAGTACTGAGGCTGGTGGTGATGCGATTATGGCTCTTAGTGTGGGGTTTGGGGTTTCTGGCCTTGGTTTCCTCCGACCCTTTTGAATCAATAGGGGCCARAGGCCAGATGAGAGCCCCTCACTGCAGCCCAACGTTATTTGTGAAAACGAAATCCATACCTTTGAAAACATCATTGAGTCTAACCCTTCCCAGCTCATGGCCCACGGAATGCATCTCCCTCTGTAGGGTGCAGTGTGAGAGGTAATCAAGCTATTTCAGGTTCTTTGTCAGAAACGGTGCCCATCAAATGTGTTTCTATCCACAGCTGCCTTTTTCAATTATGCAGAGAAAACATGAGTGCAGAGCAGCATATTCTTGTAATGATCTGAGAGGCTGCAATGGCTTTCACGTGGAGAAAAAGTGGAAGGAAGAGATGCTGAAGCAGTACCGATAATGTGAATGCTACAGAAGAGTCCATTATAGATAAGTAATAGCAGTGCTTCAGCTAATGAACCTGTTCAAGAGTACCAAATAGGTCCTGTCACAGGTCGCACTGTGTGCTGCAGTGTTGGGATATGCATTAGGCCCAGAAGCAAAGAATTGTTTTATCTAACCATATACTTGGCCATTTGTTTGAAGCCTTTTTAACCTCCTGCCATGGAGATGGTGAACTCCTGATGAGTAAAAGGACCTGATATGATAACACCATTGCAGCAGCCACCTGCTGCCACCAGTGAGCTCCCCCTTTCCCAACTGGGGCAGTTTTCCTGTGTGTGTGAAACTGCCTCGTGAGTGTGTTTCTTGGATGGCTCTGGTGAATGCCAAGTGAATGCTTTCTGTATAAACTGAGCAAACATATTAGTAACCTGGGTAAAAGAGAATCCRTAGTGATAATATAACACATGTCCTTTACAAAGCAGCCTTTTAAAAATATCGTTTAGAGATTTACCATCATCTTTCTTTCTATACACTATTGTTTTCAGCTGTATATATATATATTTGGGTTATAGGTGGAACATTCTCTGTTCTAGTAGAAAATAGGAAACTGGCAAACACCAAAAGCTTCCTGGAGTCTTTTTACAGTAGCACTGTTAAAAATTATGTTGTAGCCAGATGGTCCAGAATTGCCTCCCATTCAGTGGAAGAGGGAACACAGCCCATTCTCCTAGGTCACCTCCAAAAGAGGTTTTTTGAAATGATTTTCCTGAAATGGTTTTCCTGATTTTGCAGACTGGTCTGCTGAGTTCTCACTGAAATGGGTGGAAACTCCTCATTTCTGACCAAGCTTTTGTTTTCTGAGCCATCTGTGGTACCTAATAAATGCCTTCACTTCTCTTTTCTGCTCTTTCCGTGTAGAACACCAGCCATGATTGGATGCTCATTTGTGGTGGACCGAGAATACTTTGGTGAGATCGGCTTGCTTGATCCTGGCATGGAGGTCTATGGAGGAGAAAATATTGAACTGGGCATGAGGGTGAGTAACAAAGAAGAGACTTGGTGTAATGTGCATTTGCAGAGGAAGATGGGGAGCCTGTGGCCCAACAGAAATGCTCTCTGACTGATAGGTTATTACACTGACATGATTGATGCTACAGTGCTTTCTGGAACTAACAGTCCCAGGAAATGAATATTCCTGGTCCTGCTGCTTTTGAGAGAACTGATGAAATTAATAAATATGGAAATAGGGTCAGAAATATGCATATGGTTCATTCTGTCGGTGTTTGAACTAATGAGGCAGAGGGAATTTCTTTTTCATTAGTTTTAATGATGTAAACAGATCCATGCTAATAGGACTTCATTTGCTCGTGGTGCTTATGGTGCTCATGCTGCTCAGTGTTGTGGGTGCTTGTGGATGCAGTAGATGCAGCAGCAATGGAAAATTAAGGCCAGGCTGGTAGTTGTTGTCAGTTGTAATATTTTGCACACCACACGTGATGAATGCTGTGATATTTTGAAACTCTTAAGGATCATCTCTAAGAACAAGAAGTAAGGGCTATCTGTTCTGCTGGCCCCAAAAGCTCGTATGAGAATGATACTAGAGAAGCTGCCAAGCAGAAGTTTTGAGGAAGGATGCCAGGGATCCAACAGAACAAAGCTTAGCGTGACCTCTCTCTCTTCGCACTTATTTTCAAGGTGCTGTTTGTCCAAGGAACCTGCCATTGTTTAGCACTTGGAAATTAGGCCACTTAGTAGTGCATGAACACAGTTACCTCATTATAAAGCTGACTGTTTAATTATTTTCCCCTTACTCTTTGCTCCCTGTATCACAGTAACACATCCCTGGTGCATGTGGAGTGCTCATTAAAGCATATATTGTGCTTACGCTGAAACAGTGAACATCAAATTAGTCCATCCTTTATCTGTCCCTTCTTTCTAAAGTGTCAACAGACTCCTTCACACCAGTAGGCTGAAGAAGGACACTGTGGCAGACCTTTGTTTTTATATAGAGCTTTGGAATTTTTTTTTTTTTTTTTTTATTCCAGTGTCCAAGGAGGGATAGAGTTTTAAATGGGGCTGCACAACTAGGCTGCTTATACTTGGAGGTGCAGAATTCACACTGGAGACAGAAAAACTGCTACCACAAATCATCCAATTTTCCTTAAGAGGGTCAGGCTATTACCCGGATTGTGCGAGCTTTCCTTTATCATTGTGTGGGGCTTTGAGCTGTTTGAAACTTTTTCCACATGGCTGCTCCCAGAATAGATTGAACGCTCCGGCAAAAGTCTGGCGGAGCTGATGAATAAGCCTCCTAAGAAGTCTGAAAGCTGTCGCTCTTCCTTAGACCAGAAGAACTCGCTGAATATGATTAGGGCTCTTGGTAAACACAGGCAAAGGTTTTAATAGGATTATAAAATGGCTCTTGCTTGAAAAGACCAGGATTTGAAGTGAGCGAGGACAGKTTTTCAGGGATATGGAGACCTGTTAAAGTCTGTAAGAACCCAGATGCCAGCTCTTAATCATTGCTGTCTGTTTTGTTTGTTTTTTTCTCCTCAGAAAAGTATCATTAACCCTATTGTAATGTTTGAAAAGGGCTTTCAAAAAGTGTTGGATGAGTTCATTTGAAAATAAGCCCTATAATGCATTGTTTGTCCATAGCGTGGATCTGCTAATCTACATTTTCAGCCTGAGTCTAGTGTGGTAATGCACAGCATGTACCTCTTAATGTGCAAGTCCTCCATGTGTTCCCTCCCAATGTGTCCTTCAGAGCTGTCAAAAATTAACATTATGAAAGCAGAAAAGAATCTTCTCCCTTCCCTATGGGATATTTATAAAATGACTGTGAATTTCATTCTTTTTATTTTTTTTTTTTAAGTTCTGGAATCTAAAAGTGAGTTGCAAASAATCAATCCTTTCCAAAGGAAATGTGGTGAGCTATGCAGGGACCCATGTCCAAAGTAGGAGCTCAGCTGAGAGCAAACCAGGCGACAAAGGCAGGAAGTTTGATGGGAAAAATTATGAAGTTAAAATTATGAAGTTAAACTTATGAAGTCTGTCCTCAGTCTTGCATTATAGTGAAGTCTTGCACCTGCGTGAGCTTGGACCTACAATGAGGAGAAACTGAGAGTTTGACCTGTCCCTTGCATCTGCATGGAGGGAGACCAGTGTCCATGATTTGATGCCTGATTTGTGTGGAGCAGTGAAAGACAGAAAAGGTTAGGAATACGTGAATGAACAAGGAATGATGAAGAGCAAGAAATAAAGCAGGGGAAAATGGTGTGACATATTGGCTGTAAAGGGTCCCTGTTCTAAAAAGCTATAGCAGTAAACCTCTAGCATTCTTTGCAAACTATCATGCTACTGCTAAAAGAAAAGGGATTAGGCTTGGATTGTCTAAATTAGATTAYATTGCATCTAATGAACCTTCATTTAAATTGTTTTAATAAAGTGGAATTGGGAAAGGCATGCAATTAATGAGCTGATTTGGGAGCGTATTTTTTGATAACCTAGCTAATCCCCTTTAAATCTATTGTTTATTAAAAATATCATCATCTTGAGTATTCCAGTAGCGGCTTTTTCCTTTTCTAAATTACATAAATGGGAGTAATTAATTAAGTGATTTCCTATTTTGAGTAAACAGTGCATAAACACACTAGCCGACGTGGGCTACTAGATCTGTTGAAGGTATTTAGGGGTCTGCCATTCTCTTTTTTACTTATGTTGTCTTTCCTCTGTAAACTGATTGTTGGTTAGAGCTGCAACATTCTCCTAACGGAGTAGCTTTGCAGTGAGACCAGTGTCTGTTTGCCAGCCTAGAAAGGTCCTGGCTTGGCTGAGGAAGAGGGCTGTCAGTTCTAGGAAATRAAAGGGAGATGGGCACGATTGCAGGCCTGCAATAGTGGGAAAATAGATGGACCCTTCCATAATATCATCTGGTACTGTATTTTTCAAAGATGACAGTTTCACYGCGAGATGGATAAATACAGGGTTGAATTCTGTGAGAAATGCAGCTATTCTACCAGTGTTCGCAGACCTCCAGTCACTGTGCTGAAGGGAGTCGTCTGTGAGGATCTGAAAGCTGATTTTTGCCAGGAATTTACAAGCTTGTATTATGGCTGACTCCGGTGTGGGTGAGATGCCCTTGATAAACACAGGCAGGCTGGCTTGGTTACTTGGTGCTGCTTCACTGCTCTGCCACCTTGTGTCCTTGTGCATCCACTGAACGGGAGAGACATGGATTTTCATTTCGTCTGCTCTTCAGTTATCTTTTTGCCAACCTAGGAGCAGAGATAAGGGAAGGGGATGGTACTTTCTTCTGCTGTGAAACACTGGATATGTCTGTGCCTTAATGAGAACCCCAAGGCTTTGCTTGGATCGTGCTGGTCTTTGCTGCTTCTGAACTCCAAAGTCCTCTGCTACAGTCATAGCAGGTGGGAAGAGATGAAGCATTTATTGTAAAGGATTCTGTAGTACAAATGATAACCACTAAGAATCCGAAGAAGAAATATGTTTGTTGCCAAAATGACAGCTGAAAGSAAAACTTGTTCTCTCTTATTGTGATCACTATAAGCCAATTTAACAGCATCATGCTATATCTGAGAGGAATGGTTCTACACTAGCTGATGATTACTTTTGGGTGCTATCTACTGACTTACATAGCTTAAAGAAGCCCAGTGTTTATAAAGTTCTSACCAGAGAAATTATTTAGAGGTATTTTCAGATACCACTGCAATAAATCAATTTTGCAGTGAACTCAAATGATGGTCTTGTTGTCTTGAGTTCTAAAGCAGTGCCTGGTTGAATGCTTATGGTTAGTCATGACCTAAGCTTGTGAAGATGTGTCACCAGCAGCTTTGGCCAACTTTGTTTGCTGGCTCTGGGAACATGCACCGTATCAAGACTGGAAAAGATTGCTCGAAAATGGGACAAAATTCAGGTTGTTCCTTTCTGCTGTTGTAGTGACATGCTAACAGTGGCCAGGCTGATTTCCTAATATACAAGCAAATCATTATACTTCACAAATTTACGTTTTGTGGCCCAAATTTGCCTTCTTTAAAAGCTAACAAACTGTATTTTCTCTAAGCAGATAATGCTAATCGTGGATTGTTGTAATCGTGGATTGTTGAGTGGTGAATTCTTGACCTGTTTTTATTACCATCAGCTGAAGAAATTTAGATTACTTTGAGCAGTCAGCAGCTTAAACATAGATTTTGGGCTGATATGCAATAATAAAAAAGTCCCAAGGTTTATATATGGCAAATTTTAATTCTAAATTCTGGACAAAGCTTTTTACCTTGTAAAATTCATGAGGACAAGCCCCTAGTGTTCAAGCTGAGAAGGAAGTAGGAGTGCCATTATTCAAAATTTTATCTTTTCTATGGCATATTGTGGTAAAACAAAAAGTGTAAATTTAACGAAAATATTAGTCAAAACGCCTAATTTCAGTAATTCCGAACTACTTCCTTTTTACTTTGAATTTTCCCAAGCTGTATTTTTAGTATAAATTAACTCAATTTCAATGTAAAATTTTAAAAGAAGGATTTTCAGTGTTAAGGCATTTAATCACCTAAATGGATAAACCCTTAAATGAAATTATGAAAAATTCGCAAAATTTAGTAATCTAAAAATGTAGTGCATGCACATGACTATTTGCATGGAAGTGCAATAAATGCCAATTTTCAGCATGCTATTTTAGTGTTTCTGCACTGAACTCTGAATAGCCAGAGTAAAATCCTAACAAAGGCTGTAATCTACTAACAGTTGTAGAAGTAGCAAAGACCTGTGTGGTAAATCTGCTGGGTCTCGTTCTCCAGATAAGCTCTATAAATAAAGGTGGCCGGTCTCTAGTTTAATTTAGCATTTTTATAGACATTTTCAAAGGTGAAAGAACTTTAAGGTTTTAAAGTCAAGCACTAAGAAAATCATTAAAGGATTGAATTCTTGGTACCTGGATTACATTAATRTGCTCCTTCCCCTCTTTAAAATAGGTATTGGAATAGGCTTTTATTTTATGTTGATATGCATATATGATGAGCC